TGTTATAAGGTTCTCCTTTAATATATTCGGATGTCTTTCAATTTCAGATACGAGGTACAGTATTGCCACTCAATATATATATATATATATATTCTAAGCTAGCTGTTGTACTCGTCTCCTGGACGGAAGCTATGTAAGTACATGATTAATGAAAGGTTATCTTAGGATATGAAAAGTTGCTTCCCTTACATGTAATTGTAAAAAAACTGCAAAACACAAAATGTGAAACCGCAAATTTGCATGAACCCAACAAACCCTCATGCCAGATTTGGTGAAGATCCATCAACAGAGGCGAAGTAGTGGTAAAAACCCCAAAATACAAAACACAAAATTGAAAATTTGTATGTATCGCCGCATTGACCCAACAAACCTTCATGCCAAATTTGGTGAAGCTCGATCTACAGGAGGCGAAATAGTGGTGCAAAATGCAAAACTGAAAATTTGTATGTTCCTCTGCATAGACCTAATGAACCTCCATACCAATTTTGGTGAAGATCCATCCACACCCTGCGAAGCAGTTGTATAGACATACAACAGACACTATTATTATATTTATATAGATAAGTGGTCCTTTCCGTTATGTTAAATGCTCACTGTATAGCCTCTAAATTTCCCATTGTATATAAATGCTGAGACGTTATGCTCTCTAGTTATGACATAGCTTAAAGCTGTCTATCCTAACACTGTCTCTCACAATAATATCCAATGATTTCTTCATCAGTCTTGGATAGATTCATTTTACTTAAAATACACAGCTGTATTTTCCTCAACAGTTCGACTTTGGGTTTTCTGAAAGGTATTATAAACTCTCCATCCGTTCCTGGTATGGTATTTTACATTTTATGACCTTTGAACCATGGGAAATATTCACTTTCAGATATATTAGGCCACTCTAGTACTTCAGACGTTTTATCTTCATGGAAATAAATCTGAAGTCCCATCCTGGAAGTCATTGTAAATAGGTTTTGGAGGCTCAAAAACAATAAATATATTAAATCAGTCATAATAATTTCAATTTACGAGTGTCCTATAAGGAAGGCCAGGAAACTCTCAAGTTATAATATATAAAGAAAAACTGATCTTATCAATTGATGTCGTTTAGTGAGATATATATACACACTTTACTTTGACATATGACATGATATACTTCTTCTACAACACTGACTTTTTATGTTACCTTTTAGTTCTCGTCTCTTAAAAAATATTTAATGGCTCAAGAGTGGATTTACAACAAAGAAAACTACCCCTTCATGAGGTTATTGTGATTTTAAATGTCTCTCGTGGTTTCTTAACCTTTTATTTGCCACTTCAATGTGAAAGAAATTCAATCACAAAATAACAAATTTCATACTAGACCAATAGAGTTGAAGCTTGCAAGCAACATAACCAAACGAACTTCATTGGAAATTTCAGCTGTGAAAGCTCGCTCAATAAGATTTTTTAAGAATGAGAAAATACAGAATTGCGTAAAAAATCTAATCTTATTTCACACTAAAAGAAAACAAGAGGAAATCCTCAAGAACCGCGGCACTTGAAATTCTTTTAGGCAGGATTAGAAACCTTTGTTTCCCTTTTTATTAGAAATATTTTTGTGCGCCAGCAATACCAAGCGTGGGGTGCGCGCATACCCGATTTGATTTTATTACTCATCAGAATCTCTACCAATTTACCCTCAAATTGAAATTTTTTTTAGGCAGAATTGGAATAAATTAATTTATGAAACCTTGGATGTGGTCAAATACATCAATCGAAATGGTTTGACCTCCTGAGTCCAAAACTGTAATTATATTTCAAATCGGTCAAGAGATGGCGTAGCTATGAGCTAAAAGTTTTTGGTTTTTTAAAAATCAAAACAAAAAACTCGGAGCGGTTCTATGAGGCGCAGCTAAAACAATCGATGTTGAACTACACTTATGCAATTTTCCATTCAAGGCCCTATGGGGAAATTCAACATCTCTTATTATTCTGAACAACGAGTAAATTAGAACTGATGTTGGTGATGGTAGGTTAACGAGGGAGACATAAGATCAACAAATTATATATTGACGTATAAAAAATCAGATTTGCTATGACAATGTTGAACATATCTTTTCTTTCTAAGAATACTCAACTCTGTTAAAATATGGAGCAACCCACGTTATCGATGTGAGGAGATGGATGTTGTATTTCGGATAGCTTATCATACAAGCTTCCTACCTAATAAACAAGGTAGTTATACTTGGAAAAGAATGTAGGGCGAACCGTGTAAAATAAAAGAATATTTTACAAGAATTGCTAAAGTAATCACATGCACTGCATCTTATCGTGGGTTTCGCACAATAAATAAGCGCTGAATAGAATGGGTAACACTATACGACATATCACTATTTAAAGTTAAAAATACCGATTCAGATTAAAGAAATTGTACCATCATAATAGTTAAAGTACTTGGGGCATACCATAAGACCAGTACAAAATGTTGGCCAACATTATATATTGGTCTTGTGATATATCCAAAGTATTCTCGCAGCCGATCATCCTCGTCAGGAAACATTACTGCAAGGAAGAAACCGATTATTATTTCTGAAGATGCCATAGCTGAAGTTAATGCGGTTCTCGAGAAAGTATTACTACAACAACACTATAACGTTTACAAGTTGGATGTACTTTTAAGTATTTTAAAATGATGTGAACACTGAGCAATTCCAATAGTTTCTCTCCTAGAAACCAATCATCGCACTTTTCGTAAACCCTTCTGGTTCTTCACAAAATAATTCAACTGTTGTGTTATGCTTACTGTTCCAAATATGATTACAACAGATAATTAGTAATTCATACTTTAATGCACATATATTTAATCACTAGCTATAAAAGGCTTATTCCCTTTGTCACTCCGTCGAGGACGCTTTCACGCACCTTTTTTTGGTAATGCTCAACAATATACATAATCCCCTTAGTAACAAAATTATCACCTGGTTTTTCTTACGCCAACTTATGTTGAATGCTCAATATTAATGTTGATTTATTAGATAAGTTTTTTATTCTTATCAATTAAATTTTATAAATAAGTTTACATAAAGGGAAAAATCAATACATGATCTAAGATATATTCATCAACCACATTTTTTAAAAACCGTTTTAGCTATGCACTTGCCAAAGTGACAGAATTGTAGCCAAAATCAGAATAAAATTTACCAAGTATTGTTTCATTGTTGTTTAAGACTCATACCATAGGTAAATTAATATTGTTGCGTCAGCAAAGTCACACGACTAGTATGACGCCACGTTTCTAGAACTATCCTGTACCTTGACGAATGCTCTAACATTTACTAGATATAGGGTAGTCTGGTATATAAAAGAGAGTGACAACGTGACGGGACAAGAGGGTGTGTGTAGACAGCGAGTAATTGATCTGCAGTCAGAGAGTATTATTGAGCACGTTCGTTGTTATAGCGTTTGTTTTAGCGCGATTGTTGAAATTAAGTGTATCGTAAAGTTATATTCGGAAAGAATAAACCAGTTTTATTAAGTAAGGACTTGTGTCGCTAAAGTTTCGTCGGAACGAAGTTACGGAAAGTTAATCAACACAGGGGAGACGTAACAATATGTAGAATTATGCACATATATTTTCCTCTACGTTAAAATACCTTTATTTGCGAGCTTTCGGCCCTGTCACTGGAGCCTATCATCACAAATAAAAGTATTTTAACGTAAAGAAAAGTGTGTATAATTCTACACAAGTTTATGTATTACTATTAAGCCTAAACTTAGACTACAAATAGACCTACTTTTACTAACGTTAGAGTCAGTGTTTAAAAAGTTAAGTGTTGAACAAATGTTAAATATTCTTTTGGTATTTTAACACATATATTACCTACTTCGCCTTGAAACAAATAAAATTTACGTTTACTACTATCAAATATCTTATGCTTTGTATAGTAGAGAGTTGAAAATTTGTGTCGTAATGTCCGCACCAGGTTTTCTATTTCCTGACCTAGAATATTGTGAAAAGGCTCAAGAGTGCTATTTAAATCTCTTTCAGAGTGCACAGGTACTTTTGTTCACACTAACATTTCATTTTTCTGCGTAGTTTTTACTAAAAATATAATGATTAAAAGAATTATTTCGAGACTGACGATATACGCGAAGGGTAGATGCATTTTGCAAGTACCGACAAACTCATTTTAGTTAAATTGTACAAGTCTCGTTAATCATTCAACAATGGTTTCCCATCATTTTTGACAGGCTTTTATACTAGTTTTAGTATAATTGACTTTTGTACTTGGGTTTGTTGAACTTTTAAGAAGATAAACTTAGTATGAAGAGACGTTTGAGGTAGCATTAACCCACTCATTTTAGCATCTGTATGCATTTTTTAATTTCCCTTACTTCCTCAAAGTACAATTAGAATCGTTCCACGTTTTTATAAAAAAACTTGTTCTCTTACGGATTCTGAAGATAAGTACATTTTATCATTACGTTCTGCATTTATCTAATTTAAGATAAATTTATACATAAACTAGCAACACCATTTTGAAAATGATTTATTAAGAAATACATAATAACATAAAATTAAGAATTTTTTTTATCTTTACAGATGTAAGATTGAAACGTTACAAAACTATACATTTAAATAATGAACTGTCGTCAAATATTGGTGTAATAATGATTCTAAGTTTTAAAATGTGATAACACGTCTTTCAAAATCGGCATAATTACATCCACGGTTTTATTTATTTAAAAATTAATATTTGAATCATATTGCAATGATTTGTTTGAAATATGGGAGATAAAATAATTCTATTTCAAGGTTGGGGATATTTTTTTCTTCTCTCCCTCCAAGTTTTCTTTTATTGCACACTTCCTTTTGAAAGGAAATAACTACAAAACAAGCTTACATGGCTTTTAGAAGTATGAGAAAACATTACACACTTTATACATTACAAAATTTTGTTTCTGAATATGCATGTACTTTAAAAAGCATATTACTTTGGCTTTTCAAAAGTGTACACACACACACACACATTGTAACTGTCACTAGACTTTATTTATTATTACATAAATCCAGATTCAAGGCGGTCGTGATTTAACATCTAAGAAGACTACTTGGTTGAGAAGAAATAGAACATTATTTGTATTATATTCTAAAGTTTGTTTTAACTATAAAGCTATCAGATGCAGAAACTACTTAATTAGTTTACAAGGTTGAAAAAAAAAAGTGACTTAAGTGTAAAACAAAGCAATTATGTTAGATGAAACCACGTAAGGAATGTTTTAGTTCAACCAAGAACTTCAAAGCTGTCCACAATCAGCAATAACAATCTTCTTTGATGGCTTTCCACTCTGGCTACCATAGTTTTCAACTTTCTTCACCACATCCATCCCCTCCACAACTTTGCCAAATACCACGTGCTTACCATCCAACCTAATATATACACAGTCATTAAAAACAAGATTGGTAAACAAGTATTTAAAGATATAAAAACAAGTTATAACTTGAAAAAAAAATATATTTAAATTGAAGTACTCCAATGGAAAATCTTCTTAAACCTCAAAATAAGCAGTGGCTACCTAGCAAAAATGGACATTGGGTTCTAGAGTTTAAACAGTTACCACCAAGGAGTAGTTTTTCTGCCAGTTGTCAATCAAGGTATTATGAATATTCAACTCACTTGATTTGAAAAACTCAAAATCTAGCAATAATCCTTTTCTGGTAGCTTTTGCACATTGTTCTTGCACTTTAACAACATTCCTAAAGTTTAAAAAACAGCATGTCCAAGTAGATTTTGTTTGTTTGTTACATCAGACCCCCCCCCCCCATTTCATATTAAGAAATGTAATAATCACAAATGAAAGTTAAAATTCAGTATATAAAATATTAAATACGAGACTTAAGAAATTCATATCAGCTAACGGCTGGTAACTTAGAGGTAAGTGCACTTATGTTTATATATGTACAAGTTCACAATTTATGGTATGAAATAGACACCTTCAGATTTTCATAATTTGTTAAATGCTTTAGAAATTTTAAAAGGCTACACAATTCACGTAACTACACAACACTTTGTTACTGGCTGATGGTATGCAAAGATACTTTTGTTGAAACTTCACACATAATGAAAGAAAACTGCAGATCTTTCAGAAAATGTTACAATTACAACAGAATTGTTAATATTACTGAACTCTCATTAAACTTATAACTGCTATAGCAAACAAAAGCAAATTAAAAAAAACTATTTATTTGAAGAAGTTTTCTGAAACTTAATGTAACGGCAGGGCTCTCTAACTCTTCAAAACCTTTAGCTGCCGTAAGTGAATAAGAAAGGAAAGATTGTCAATATACAATATAGTTTGAAAATGACCTCTAAAATTAAAAGTATCAGTCACAGCAGCCAACAGTGTCATGCAAATGTATCTATGATCTTGTCTGTACACACACAGTACGTTGCATAACTAATATCATGACAAATAACAGGATCTGAATTCAAATGTATTTATTTCTTCATAAGAATAAAAGGTTAGCAGGGGGTCCAAAACTGCAGAAGTTCCGAGAGACTTTACAGGGACTGTAACAAAGCCTTGCAAAAAAAAAAAAAATTATGGATGCTTTTGAATTTCAGTGTGATGGAGCTTATTAAATGTGAAGAACTAACTCTTTCAACATGGTCCCTGGGACTGACCTCGTAACCATTTTGTGCACGTTATAGTTTTCATGCTATAACTATTAAATTAGTAAGCAGTTGTTAGTGAAATTTGGAAAACATTACAATGCTTTCATACGCAAAATATCAATTTTTTTTTTTTAAGTCTTAAGGTCTGTAAAGCAATGTTTTTCTCATGGCTTTTCTTCCTTTCACTTGTTCTCCATCTATCATGCAAAATATTTATAATGTCCAGATAGTTATCAAGCATTTCTTAAGAAAAAAAAAAACTATATTTTACCAATTATTTTCAGTAATTAATCTCTGTATGGGTTCGGTAGGTTTGACCAATCTAGCAACCACCACAAAAAATTAGGAAATAACTCTTTCATTCTAGAATAAACACAAATTATAAAAAGAAAACATAAATGTTTAGACTATATAGCTTAAATCTCATAACATTATACGTTTATTATTATACTGACCTTTTACCCATGCATTCAACATACCATGTGACAAACAAAAACTGATGTTTACCTGTGCTTTTAAATTAAGAAATTGAGTAATGTATAGTACTAAAATTTCAATTATTATCAACAATTTGATATCAAAGTTACTGACAAATTCATGAAAAAGTAGTTCAATAAAATTATTATTCAGAGGCAACAAACAAGATGACGTGGCCTTTCACCCATGACCTGTCTCGAAAGGGTTAAATGACAGTTTTTTTTAGAAATCCACTATTTCATGTCCAAGCTTCACCAAGTCTAATTTGCCCCACCCCCATTAGCAAAATTATTTGTTTCTTCATAGTTACTCTTTTACAACTTAACCATTTTGAATATGTTAAACAATTTTTTCTTAATATTGCACAACAAGTTATGTATTTCACCATCATATCCCACATTCACTAGCACTACATCAGTGTAATGTCAGGTTTCCTGTATCAGGTAACAGGTGTATTTTTATGAAGATAAAAGGCAGTTATTAATGATCTGATTTTCTTTTTTATTATTCTCTTCAGTTTTGTGTCACTATCATCACACACACACACACACACACACACACACATATATATATAGTATCACTGAAGTTATCAGAGCTTTAAAATGTACTTTATTTCCACAGTTCAAGATAACATTTTCTCATGGGTAAGCATTTTATAATAAGAACAAAATAATAATAATAAAAACAGCAATTTCACCCAGAAAGTAAATTCTATAATTAACATAAAAACAGATAAAATCAAGTGTACTAAAAACATTTACTATATCACAGGAACTGCACGAGATAGGTCACAACAATACAAGGACACTAGTTTAACATCCTTAAAACATACACATTTAATTTATTAACAATTCCTCTTCAATTTTTTTAAAATTTCTCCAATTTAGAATTTAAGTCACAAATTTTGCTTTCATATTGACACCTCAATTAGATAAGTATTGACAGGTAAAAATAATAAAACAGAATGGAAAGTTCTCGTAATATCAAGGAAAGAAGTCTTAGATGTTGATACAGAGAAACTAAAATAGTTTATACTTTAATAGTGTACCCAGTTTGTATTAATTCATTAGAAATATTTTAGAGAATTACCATGAGGTCTTCACAGTTGTAAGGAAAAACTGAGACCCATTTGTGTTAGGTCCACAATTGGCCATAGAAAGAATACCTACAAGAAAAACACAAAAAATAAAATAAAACTGTGCTAAAATTAACATTTAAGATTTCACTTAACAAAAATGCACGGGATCTACTGTACCAAAACTATATACACACACTACTAAATAGGTTAAAATGAAGTAACATTTCCATTTTCACTAAAAGATAATGAAGTGGGGATTATCCAGAAGACTGTTAAATGTAAAAATAAATTATGACAACCAAAATAATTTAGCCTTTGTTCACGAACTACACATAACCAAATAGTTTTCAATAAGAAATATTACTAGCCAGTCATTTTAAAATGGAGTATTTTAAAAGGCAGATATAGATGCTAAATGTTTTTGGTAGAGGTAGGGGGAGAAAGATTAGCAAAATAAGAAAGGTGTTAAGCAATTTCTTAAGTGTAAAATTATATGGTCCCATGATCTAACCCTTCCACATATAGCAACTTATGAAACTGAAAATCATTTTAGTATCTGTGACATTTAATGCATTTGTAACAAGACCTCAATTACTGAAAATTTATACTTTTACCTTGTATCTCCCCCTCCCCACTTTCAATGGGTGATTTCACAGAAAAGAAAATTGCCTGATTACACAATTATAAACAAATGGGCAAGAATCACACACCAGTAAAGAAAATAAGATTTAAAGCCTACCTTTACTGCATGTCCTATTTGACTGTTTGACATCGCACTGTCACCTCCGACTTTAAAACACATTATTAGCTTCTTAAGCTTTCTTATATTTCATAGAATTAATTTATAGCTATCGTTTCTTGAACAAACAGCACATTGCTACATCTAACTACCTACAATGTCTTAACAGTTTAAAAATTTTTCATATCTTCCATACCTGGTTCATTGTGTTTTAAGGTGAAGTTCTCATCAGCAAACTTTTCGCCATAAATAGACTTTCCACCAGTGCCATTATGTTTGGTGAAGTCACCACCTTGGCACATAAAGTTTGGGATAACCCTGTGGAATGTGCTTTCTTTGTAACCAAATCCTTTCTCACCAGTACACAGTGCCCTGAAGTTTTCTGTTAAGTTAAAATAATACTTGTGAATTCTTGACAATGACACCACAACTTAACTACAAGGTTAAGCAAGTTTCACAGTTAAAATTAGAAAGAGCAGGAAGAATTCCACAGAAATAATTATACCAATTAGAACTCTGGTTCAAAAATTTACAATTAAAAAGAGAACCTCAAGTGTATAATCACAAGAAACAGGTGTACCTTGTGATAGTTGTTGTTACTTCAAACTATCAGATATATTGTTCCCACATCCACAAAATAATTAATAAAAGATTTGCAAATATAAGACTATTCACTCTCAGTATTTATTGAAGAGTAAACCAAGACAATCATGAAATAATAAATGCACAATTTTATTTGAAAATAAAAATGTATTCACTTACAATCTGATCACGAGTACTAAACAGCAGAAAGTATGTTAATATATTACCCTCTCATTAATATACTGACTTTATTATTATTATTATTAAAGACTTCGCATTTAATAGTTGTTTCAGCTACTGATGTGCTTGTATATTAGTCTCCATATAGCTTACAATTAAACTGATATTTTTTAAAAGTGTATTTTTGTGAAAAAATAAGAATTACATAATTCTATTGTTTTAAAAGTACTGGCATTTTCAAAAAGAAGACCCTAGTTGTACATGTGTAATTAGTAGACACAACCAGTTGATTTACTTTTCACTGTGTAGGGTTCCCATTCATAAGTGAAGTTGAACATTATTTCCAATTCACAACTTTACGCATCATGGAATATTTCCATAAATATTATCCTAATACAAGTTCAGTAATAGTAACTACAAGTCTAACAATTTCTTTCAAAACACAAAGAAAAAAAATTACAACTGTGTTACATCAGTGGTAATGAAATTTTCAATGACAATGAGTTCCTTGAATGAGAACAAATTACATATAGAGTTATTTGTTGCAGCAGTAAGTCTCAGGTTATCACGCTAAAAATTGGATTTAGATACTCGTGTTTAACACAGCACAGATAGCCCATCGAGCATCTTTATTATCAATAATAAACAAACAATCTGTTGTAAATGATCACTAACAAGAATAAAGTGGGGTACAGCAATCAGGGGCTAGAAAGAATTATAAGATAACCAGCCCGTGAACAGGAACCGGTGATTACACAATATAGGGAACAAATGGTTGAATAACAGGAAATCAACAATTGGGAAAACACATTATTATAAGCATAATTTTAAGAAATATTTATAACTATTATAGATTCAGTCTCCTTGTCCAAAAGCCCCAATGAACCAAATAAAGAATAAGGTGTTATGAAAATATACCATGGATTAATTATTTTGTCACTGTTATAAGGTTTGTTTATATGAATTTCAACTGTCAGCATCATATATTGTCACTTATCACCACCCATGGCTCCACTGCCCCTAAGGTGCAGTACTTAGTCTTGTTCATTTGACTGGTCACTGACAAATATCACAGTGAAGTGTGAAAGTCACTTAGTAACTAACACAGACAACCCAATATAAGAAGCTCTTGCTGATTTTGCCATCACTTTTTTTTTCTATTTACCAAGTTTGTTCCGATATTCTATGCAGTTCTTGTACAAGTAAATTAAGCACTTTTTAACTGTATAATCAGACCCTGCATAATAGGTGAAACATGGCCCAAAAGAAAGAAAAAAAAAGGTTTCTTTCTGCCCTTGTATTACAAGGAGTTAGAACTTCTGTTGTAAACAGTGTACATGTTTATTATAAATTACTTTAAACAGTATTTTGTATTTACACAATAGTACATGCACATTCTTTATACATACTATCAAGATAAACATACTTAGTGATTTTTTTAATCATGCTATTTTGCACAAAAACAAACATTTTTTAATTCATACTTGCTACAAATATCATTTCCGAATATAATTAGAAGTCAATATATAAAAACTGTCAAATATTGTAGCATATAATGTCTAAAAATACCAATTCTTTCAGTGTTATAAGATGCTCCATAAACTAGAGCAATTTTATTTTTAGGCACTAACGTCGGAAATAACAGACCCAAGAATGACAAGAAGCATGGTTTAATGAGAACCAAACCTTTGTTGTTGAGGGTAAAAGAGAGGTGGAAGTCAGGAAAAGGAAAATGAATGGAAAAATAAAATGAACACTTTTAAGTGTTATGATAAATATGAATATAGTAAATACATTAACTGGGATTCTGTACATTTTAATATATGGTAAAATGGTGTTACAATGAATAGCCTTCTAAAACGTTTCTTTGAGATCTACCTTTCGGCAAGTTTTTGTGGATCTTTGATCTTCTTCAGGAATGAAAGTGGTCCAAAAATGTTATCTTACAAAGAAATGTCGGCCAGCAGGTTGTCACATGCTAACCATGAATTTCAAAGATATTTGGCCTATGGTTCGTATTTGAGATATATAGGTATAATCGGTATTGTGCTCTGCATGTTATTGCGAGATTTTTTTAAAATTTATATTATGAATAAACCTTTATGCTACAAATAATTGTTTGTTTTTTTACTAACTGCAAGTATTATCTAGCGTAAATAAAAGTTTAATAAATATTTTGTTCTTTGTTCATTTTATCGGAGTTTACAATAATAATGCTATGTTGTATATTTCAATATTTTTTTGTTTTTACGAAGTTTAACCATATAAAATTTGGATTGATGTTAATTTTCATTATGTAATATAAAGAATACAGATAGGAGCAGATTGGCATTTTAAAGGGCCAGCCCGGGCGATATCACTATTAGTACCCCAGTAATATTTCACATGCTGCATACTGGCTAAACACAATTGCATCCACTGCCAAACCACCCTAAATATGACAGAAATGCATTATTGAATGAGTTTATTTTTCTAAACTGAACTTAAACAGTTTATGAAATACGGATTAGTTGTTTACTTCTCAGGTCACAGAATATCTACTATATTATAGAAGTTTCATTAGTACAAATATTAATAGGTAACCTAGCAAGTGGTTTTAGAATACAACTCCTTACATAGTTATGAATATTTCTGTATATTGAAATCATAATAGTAAACAAGTCTTGTGAATTTCATATTTTATGTAATTGCAATTTTTATTTCCCAAGTTGAATTAGGTCTCAAGAGGTGCAGTTTTATATACTTCTTGACAGTCAATTTTTGTTTGCTTATTTATAAAGAGGTTTTTTTTTTCAGTGGTATACCACTAATTAGACAATGTAGTTGTAACTTGCCTCAGGTTACTTGATCTGACGCTGTGAAGAATGGGACATTTCCAATAAGGACTCAGTGGTAGAAGTGATAGGTTTCCCATAATATGTAAAGTAAAAAAAAAGAAACTGATACACTCACGAAGATTTCATTATGCAGAAAAGGTTTGCATTTTTATGTATATAATTATATACAGTATAAAGAAATGGATAATATTTGGGAACTAACTATGAGAGTGGCATGTGTGAACAAAGCTATGAAGGTACTATGAATGTACGCCTTGTTTACCTCATGGTAAACTGTGTTGCATAGCCAGGCAATACCTTTCATGAACAATGTGTTTTACACTAATTTCCTTCACTTGATGCATTTTGAATATTTATTAGAAGATCCATCTTAAAATATTAGACTATCATATTCCAAACAAAGTATCTGAACAGCATTCTCTGAGCTAGTAAAGTTGTGTAGGTTTTCACATATCACTGAACTAAACATCAGAAAATAAATCAAATTTTTATTCTTCATTTATTTTTAGTTGGGTAAGAAAAATTGGAATTAGCAGTTAGGTCGAACACCATAAATTTAGCTTTACTACACAACATTCAATTTGCATGCAAGGTATATCTATCATAAAGAGCAATACAAACGACAATACAAAAGTCCATAAAACAACCCAAACTTATATAACTTCACAGAATTGATGCTTCAGATAATACAGATCATACTGTTATGAAATTAAGAATATAAAATATTACTGAACAATTCTCCGAATAGTACTGATAAATTTGACCGTTATCAATCTATCAGTTTTTACTGCTATTAGTTTCTCTGGGTGCTAGGATTGGCTTATACGCATACCTAAATATTAGCTTCACCAATTGTTGAGAAAAATTCATAACAATACAGGAATTATAATTGGAAGAATTAGTTACATGCATGTCACGTGAGAGATTATCAATGCAAAAGGGATAGCACTCTATATAAGCTCTGCCTTTGCACTGGACCGTCGACTAATAGTAGCATAACATATTCATGCATTAATGCCATCTATTGGTGTACCTCAGTAATAGTTAGCTCTGAAGGAAAATCTTAAGCTAGTTTTCTCATTATTTTTGCAATTTACTGATGATTAGCATAAAGTTTTCTTCAAATTTTCAGTTTGTAACTTGACAGTTTGGTTTTCATTACTAGATAGCCGATAGATTTCCAATTTGGTAACAGTTCAACTGAAGTGTTGATTTTTGGTATTGTATACACAACTTATAATAAACTGTATAAAATATATTTACAAGGCTTATTTATTCATTTATCCTCTTCACAATTTAGACTTTTACATTTCAATTTATATTAGAAAAAGAAGTGATGGTCTTAAACTAGAATAAAAATAGTAAGGATAAAAAAAAATTAATAACTAACTTTTGTTTAGATCCCCCTCCTCTTTATGTGGGGGAGAAACAGATGTATGCAATTTGCAAATTGGAACAAGCAAAGTATACTTGTCAAAATTGTTCCAGGTTCAAAATTATATAAATCCAACACATTATACTATTATGAAGTTACAGAACTACATGTATCATTTTAACTGCAGCCAAAACAAAAACATTTCTTGGAAAATAGAATCTTAGTATATATCAAACATGACACTTTTTTCTGAAACTTTCTAACACCTTATAATTTAATAAAAAATTCCTGGATACTCCCCTAGTCTATACACAATATGGGGCCACAATTGTTTATATATTTTTCACAAGAAAGTTTTCAGCAACCAAACAAGTCTTGTGAGAGAGTCCACGTGCCCAGTTTCCTGTGAAAGCTTTGACTTCCTGCTCCCTTTCCAGTCATGTTTTCAGTAAAAATATTTGCCCATTTTCAGATACTACAATTTTTATCTAGTTTACATTATTATTAATAGTACTTTCCAATAAGTTACACCTTTCACAGAGAACATGTCTTGCTTACAGACTAATCACTTGATACTACAATCAATATGCTTTAAGATTGGCCAGAACTAGATCTCATGGAAGAGTAGGCTATATTACCTCAACAGTTGACTGATGTTGAATAGTTGTTTAAAAAATTCTTTAACAACAAGTAAAATCTTGGAATGGTCTATACTTTCATTGGGGGTGTGCCTGTGAGCCAGACTAGTTTCGGA